AGCGGCGCCCAAGAGTGCCCACTCCAGCTCCTCCGCGGGCCCCGACATGAGCAGAACCCGCGACTGGTCCGAAGCGGCCGGCGCGGCGCGACCAATCAGAAGGACGGACGACGACCAGCGAGCGAGCGAGCGGGCCAATCGGGAACGTAGCGAAAGTCCCTTTTTCAGAAGGAGCCTCTTGTAGGCGGGGAAATAAAGGGCTATTTGGGTGAGCCAATGGGGGGATCGGCCGTTGCTGCTCGGCGACCAATCAGAAAAGCCGCAGCCGGTTTGGTTTGCAGAACTTTCCGAAACCCAAGAGGAAGGCCGGGCGAGTTGCTTTCCAGTGGAGTCGACGTGCGGTCGCCGCCGCCCTTCGCTATCTTTTTGTCCGCGCGCCTACATGGGTCCTGTCTCGAGGTGCAGGCGCGAGAAGTGGCGGTTGGGCTGTCATTCCGGGCTTGAATCGCGAAGAGCACGTTTGGCCTTAAAACAACCACAAGAAAAAACAAGAGACCTTTCGAGCCCCACAGGACTCTTCTTCAAGACGGGCAATGTGGGGCATACGGGGCGTGAGAGGGGAGGGGGCGGCCGGAAGGGCCAAGCCGACCTCGAGATATGAAGAGTAGGGCACAAGCATCTTGCTGAGGAAAGCTGTCTCCATCTAAGTAGTGACACCTGGCCCCCAACAGCTGCCATTAAACTAGATTTTGCCAGTTTTTTTTTAAAGATATAAGTTACAGAAGATGCAGGCTGCATTGGAGCTGTGGCTGTAACATTACAGCTAAGGAAGCTGTTGATTGGATATCACGCTTCACTTCTTTCAAGAAGTGCAGGCGTTGTGCATACAGGGAGATGGGCATTTACTGTGGTTTGGCTGATCAGGCCTACAGGTCTTGCATGGTCAGCCCAGATTCCGTGCCCCCACCCCTCCCATGGGTGCGTACTCAGGAGGAGGAAGAGGCAGGGCAAAGAGACCTGTGGTGCTGCTTCTGGTGGAATGCTTATGGGAGGAGGCAGGGTGTGGAATCTGGGGTGCCTGTGCAACACCTGTGGGTCCGATTGGCCAAACCACACTACAGGGAGATGGGCATTTACTGTGGTTTGGCTGATCAGGCCTACAGGTCTTGCATGGTCAGCCCAGATTCCGTGCCCCCACCCCTCCCATGGGTGCGTACTCAGGAGGAGGAAGAGGCAGGGCAAAGAGAGCTGTGGTGCTGCTTCTGGTGGAATGCGTATGGGAGGAGGCAGGGTGTGGAATCCGGGGTGCCTGCGCAACACCCGTGGGTCCGATTGGCCGAACCACACCGAGCCGGGCAAGTGCCCATCTCTATGCATACACCTGGCCTGCCTTTGAAACTACAAGTTTCTATTTGGCTGAGGAACAGAGTGACACCAAAAACCCCTGAGTCCTCCATCTGGGAATTGGGTTGAACATTTAGTACATTCACTAGGTTATGTGCTTTTCATAGATAGAGATGCAGATAGACAAGAATTCTTTTGAAATCTGGAATGCACAATGGTCATCATGCAAGACGTTTGCACCCTTTGGTGGGCTATTCGTTGCAATGTATTTCTCTGCCGGTGTGCAACTGGTTATACAACATTCCACCAATGCATGCAGATTTCCTGTGCAATTGTCATTGTACACATAGATGGTCAACAAGATTCTCTCACAAAATGCAGAATGTCAGAATACTTTGGTCTAATAATGAGAAACCAAAAGACCAGGTCAGGATCCCATTGATGTCCATGTACTTGATCCAGCTAATGGAAGAGGTGCTGGTGTGCATCTCAATCACATGTCCTGGTAATGTGCCTAACTGCACACAAAGATGTGTCCATTGTTTAGAGCTGCCATATCCAAAGCTGAAATGATGACTTCCAGCTTTCACTAGAAGAGTAACAGCGAAAAGAAGAATCCTGTTTCTCAAGTGGCCCACCAGGTGCCTGGAGGAAGCATCCCAGAAAGAGACCCTGTTGCTTGTGCTCCTCAGCAGCTGGTATTCATAGTCATGCTGCCTCTGACACTGGACGTAAAATATAACCATAGTGACTAAAAGCTATTGATAGCTGCACCGTCTCTGAATTTTTCCAGTTTTCTCTCTTTTAAAAAAAATAAATTATTTATTTTTTCTACTTTTCTATCCATTGCAACCAGAGTGATTTATTACAACATGTTCCATTCATTTAATCTATACTCTCTAAGCCCCCAGTTGTCTTCTCAAGCCATCCTAAGTTGGCAGCTATCACTGCAGCTTGTAACGAACATCTCCTTCTCTGTCCTGCATCGCTTAGGTTCATTGGATGGCCCCAAGTTCTATTATTATGACCGAGGAAGAAAAACTTCCATCTATCAATTTCTTTCATGCCATTCAAAGTTTTATAAGCTTGTGTCCAGTGCCCCTCTTCTTGTCTTTTTCCCCACCTCAAATGAAAAGATCTGAAATGTTGTCATTTTCCTTCGTAGGTGAATTTTTGCATCTGAAAACCCTTGGGATTTTGCACTGGGACATAATTTGCCTGGCAAATACATGACTTGCCTGGCCACTCTTTGATTTGGGACTCCGAAGGTCACTTGGAAAACATGAGGGACAGGCACCAAGGGGGTTAATTAAAATATTTAGCAGCTACTAAACACTGGTGCTTTCAGCAGACCAGTGCCACCATCTGTCCCCTTGGTTGGCAGCACTGTGAAACGTGGAGATGTACAGAAACCCTCGCCATCTGTTGTGTGCTGAAGGAGGGCATAAAAAAATGCAGGGCGGTGAAGAAGGGAGGGATAAGATTCCTCCACTGCAGATTGTTCTTCTAGGAGCTGAGATCTTCTTGGTGTGTGGCTGGCAGGCAGATGAGGAAGAACTGGGACTTCTGCTAGTGGAAACCTATATACTACCTAGACCACATGCAAGCTTATCTGATTTTGGAAGCTATGCAGGATTGGACTTGTTTGGTCCTAGAAGAGATACTCTTAGAAATCTTCAGGTATTGCTAAGAAAGGGTCCTGTCTGAAACCATGGAGAATTGCTGCCAGTCAGAGTTGGGAATAGCAGACTAAATGGATCAAGGGTCTGTCTTAGCAGTTCAGGAAGCTTCCTGTGTCCTTTGATTGTGTCTTGGAACAGAGTCCCAGCCATGAGCTGCCAACCTCCAGCACCGCGTCACATAGGTATTATTATTGTACTGCTTGGAGCTCTAGCCCAGCTTTCTCTCCTGAGGACATAAACCAAGTAACAGTTTGTGAGGCAGGGCAGAGAATTGAAACCAGCCCCAGAAAAGTCCAAATGCGGAAAGACAACTACATGAATTAGTGGGTGTATTCCCAGTGCATCAGGGATGATTTTTTAAAAAAAGGGTTTGCCACAAATATAATATAAATTATACATTTCCTGTTGTACAAGTGTCTCTTCAAATTGGAAGAGGCCATGATGCACCACCTGCCTCCAGGCTGAATGCTCAGACGTCAAGATTTCCCATCTGTTGAGGTCCATTCCTAAGGCCTTCAGATCCCGCTTGCAGATGTCCTTGTATCGCAGCTATGGTCTCCCTCTGGGGCGGCTTCCCTGCACTAATTCTCCATACAGGAGATCTTTTGGAATCTGCCCATCAGCCATTCTCACGACGTGCCCAAGCCAACGTAGACATCGCTGTTTCAGTAATGTATACATGCTGAATATTCCAGCTCATTCTAGGACTAGCCTGTTTGGAACTTTGTCCTGCCAGGTGATGCCAAAAATCCGTTGGAGGCAATGCTTATGGAAGGTGTTCAGCTTCTTACTCCAATGTAAAATGCATAGGATAAACCCTTTAGCAGTGATGTCTTCAGGAGGTGGAGCAATGGCAGCGAGAGCAGGGGGAATTCCCAGGGCTCTGGGGACCCCTGTGTAAACGTGGGGTCAGCAGACCCCCCAGCAGTAGAAGGGGGAGCAAGTTCTACAGGAGAGTGGGCTTGCAGCGAAGGAGGGCTGGAAAAACTCCGAATTCAGACAGCAATCTGTCTTAGTGAGAGTTTCCTTTCTCAAAGCATCCAGCCCAGGAGACGCCATGTCTGGTGAACTAGCTGCCTAACCAAGGTGGAAAGTGTGAAGATTTTTTTTCTTGACTACATGAACTGTGAATAACTGGCATTTTATTTCTCACAAGTAAGTATACTTCAAACTGAAGCTGCTGACTTAAGAGTAGAGAAGAACTAAATAAAGTGGTGGAGGTGCAATAAAGAGAACAAAAAAAACCAAGAACAAAAGCCAGCTAAATTGGGGCAATTAAGAGACAAATTAGTTGTTACTCAACCTCTAGTAAACATATGTTGTTGTAAATATTTATAGTTATAAGGTTGATCTGGGCTTGAAATGGGATAGTTTGTTAGAGATATTATCTGAGAATTTGAGAAAATTTTAAAGAAAACTGAAAAATGATTTATGGTTGAGCACAAAAACAAACATGAGTAGACAATATAACATAGGTTAAAGATTTTAGTACTGTAACACAGTTATTGAGTCAGGATTATATATTAGATATTGTACTACTTCCCTGTGTGTATGTTTTGTATGTGCTGTTTGTCTGTCATATAATTTAAAAAAAAGCAGTGATGTCTTTAGGGCTTGACTACAATTCTGCAGTGCCTTCACTTAAGACTACTTCAGAGTAGAAGCCATAGGCAGCAACCCTTAATCTGTTTTTATGATGGTAAATGTCATTGAATTCAATGGAAGTTAATTTTGAGTAGATAAGAATAGGAGTGAACAGTTAAAGGCTGTCTCTGAGGTAGAGTTTAAAGGGCTTCTGTGCAGGTGTTTGGTGCAAATGCTGTTCATGTCAAAGGAGTCTGACTGACAGCCAAACCAAAATTAGCTTTCAGCACGTCTTTGCATTTAATCCTCAGTTTTGAAAATACAGATAGAATCAAGCAAACACGGAA